TCCCAAAGGCGCGGGATTACAGGCTGAGCCACCGAGCTCGGCTTATAAATGAAGTTTTAATTGGAAAAACAATAATTTATTGTCCACGTGTTTTGAAATACATACACATTGTGTAACGGCTCAACAGAGCTAATGAATACACGCATCACCTCTCATCCTTATCATTTTTTGTGGTGAGAACAATTGAAATCCATCCTCTCAGCAGTTTTCAAGAATATAATATGTTGTTGTTAACTATAGTCACCATGTTGTATACAATTTTAAGAGAGGCACAGAACTCAGTCAGAAGGTGATGTTTCTGGTGAAGAACTGAAAGGAGTAAGGTAGCCAGCCATGTGTAAATCTGGAAACAGAGCACTGCAGGCACAAGGAACAAGAGTCTTGAAGCTGGAGTGTGTGTGGCATGTTTCAAAATAAAAACAAGGAGGCTCGTAGGGCCAGAATGGAATTAACAGCTGGGGTTTGGGGAACTAAAGGAGCGATCAGAAATGTCATGGGAGGCTGGATGGGACAGGACTTTGCAGGCTTTACCCAGAGTGAGACTGGGAAGCCACTGGAGGCTTTTGAGCAGAAAAATGACAACCTGACTCATTTTACTTTTTAAATTTTCTTCTTACTTTTTTTTTTTTTTGAATCGGGGACTCGCTCAGTCACCTGCAATGGAGTACAGTGGTATGATCACAGTTCACCACAACCTTGACCTCCTGGGCTCAAGTGATCCTCTTCTCTCAGCCTCCTGAGTAACTGGGACTGCAGGAGCGTACCACCACACTGGCTAATTTTTTTTTTTTTGAGTTGGAGTCTCACTCTGTCGCCCAGACTGGAGTGGAGTGGCCGCTCCCGGCCACCGCAGCCTCGACCTGCTGGGCTCCGGCGATCCTTCTGCCTCAGCCTTCCGAGTAGCCGGAATTACAGGCGCGCGCTACCACTCCTGGCTAATTTTTTTAATTTATTGTAGAGATGAGGTCTCGCTGCCCAGGCGGGTCTCGAACCCGTGGGCTCAGGCAATCCACTCACCTCAGCCTCCCAAAGGCGTGGGATTACAGGCTGAGCCACCGAGCCCGGCTGCTAATTTTTAAATATTTTGTAGAGATGAAGTCTCAGGATGTTGCCTAGGCTGGTCTCAATCTCCTGGGTGCAAGCAATCCTCCCTCCTCAGCCTCTCAAAGTGCTAGGATAAAAAGGCACAAGTCACTGTGCCTGGTCCCTGACTTATTTTAAAAGAATGAATTTGGCTGTAGTGTTGGGAACAGACTGGGTAAGGTTGGAGCACCTCAATTTTTAAGACATGGGAGGTTTGAGATGTCTATAAAACATCCAAGTGGAAGGACTGAATAGGCAGTTGGACATATGGATTTAGTGTGTAGGGGAGAGATTTGAGTTAGAGATAAAAATCTAGGAAGCAGCCGGGCTCGGTGGCTCAGCCTGTAATTCCACGCCTTTGGGAGGCTGAGGTGAGTGGATTGCCTGAGCCCGCGGGTTCGAGACCCGCCTGGGCAGCGAGACCTCATCTCTACAATAAATCAAAAAATTAGCCGGGCGTGGTAGCGCATGCCTGTAATTCCGGCTACTCGGAAGGCTGAGGTGGAAGGATCGCCGGAGCCCAAGAGGTAGAGGCTGTGGTGGCCAGGAGCGGCCACTGCACTCCAGTCTGGGCAACAGAGTGAGACTCCAACTCAAAAAAAAAAAATAATAATTAATTAATTAAAAAATTTTAAAAATCTAGGAAGCAAAAACCAATACATGGTATTTAAAACTATAAGGCTGAATGAGTTCACCTAGGGAACCTAGGAGAAAGTGTAAACAGAAAAGGGATGAGGTCCAAGGATCATCTTTGGGGCTCCCAGTATTAATTTCTATAGTCACTTAAATTATAACATACGCTGAAAATAGGCCACCAAGTTCTTACTGACATGCATTTGCATATGTTCTTTCACTCAGAAAGCTGAGTCAGTTTCATTATTCTTTGCTTTCCATGCCAGGGCCTGGAGCTCTTTCTGTATCACCTCATGTAACTTCCCATTGTCTCCATGATGAATATGCCAGGACCATACAGGTCAAACGTGGAGCAAAGACTATAAGCTAGGTCTTTCCTAAGTCAAATCCAAGAATCAAGGCAGTAGCCATCTCCATTCAGAGTCTGTTTAAAGGGGCTTGACAACTGTTCACATGAAGGGGAAAAAGAAAACAAAACAAGGCAACAGAGCATGTGATGCAGATGCTGAAGAAGGAAACGTACTTTTACGTTAACTTGAAAAGTACTGAGTTTATGAAAACAACACTTCCTATAGATGAGTTCAGACAGTGAGAATATTATGGTGACAGGAGCATTTCTAAAAGGATACCTAATCTGGAATATGTCTAGATGAGGGTAACCAGGACCATGGGATACCCCAAAATCAGGCAGCCCAAATGACAATTTTCATTTTTAGGTAAAACCTTTAAATTCCAGAAATTATATAAGAACTTATCAGGAGATAAATAACAATCTAAAGCAAGTAGCACTCTATCATCTAAAATGCTCCCAAAGAGACCAGCATCCAGTGGGATGCTAAATGGGATGGTTAAGTTCTTCATCTCCAGCATATTTTGACTTCCTGCTCCTGAACTTAAATATCCTTAAATAGATCTATTAGGCTGACAATTTTTGACTTACAAAAATGGCAATTTCATATAGTTTAATCTAAAAGATCCAAGTTTACCAGGATGATACCAGTCTGTATCACTCACCAACAAGCTATGCCAAGCTACTATGTGCTCACTTAGAAACCAAGTGCATCATTTACACTCTTCTAGAAAAATAGATATTTTTATTTTATTTATTTATTTTTTGAGTTGGAGTCTCACTCCTTCACTCAGGCTGGAGTACAGTGGCACGCACGCTCACGGCCACCCCAGCGTCGATCTGCTGGGCTCCGGTGATTCTTTCGCCTTAGCCTTCCGAGTAGCTGGAACTATAGATACGCGTTACCACGCCTGGCTATTTTTTATTTTATTGTAGAGATGAGGTCTCACCAAGTTGAGGTCTCAGGCAATCCACAAGTGCTGGGATTACAGGCTGAGGTATCAAACCCGGCCGAAAATAGATATTTTTAAACCACCCTCCCTGAATATGGGTGTTGGGTGGGCAGGTGGGCACTGGTTTCCTCTGCAGAAACAGTTGGATATATGGATCTAGTGTGTAGGGGAGAGACTGAGCTGGAATTTAAATTTGGTATTATTATTAGTTAGTATCGGCCAGGCATGGTGGCTCATGCCTGTAATATCCCAGTACTCTGGGAGGTTGAGGCTAGAGAATTACTTGAGCCCAGGAGTTTGAGACCAGCTTGGGCAACACAGTGAAATCTCATTGCTACAAAAAATAAAAAGTTAACTGGGTGTGGTGATACACACCTGTAGCTCCAGCTAGTTGGGAGGCTTAGGCAGGAGGATTGTCTGAGCCCAGGAGGTCGAGGCTATGGTGAGCTGTGATCATGCTATACACTCCAGTCTGGGTGACAGAGTAAGACCCCAACCCAAAAAGAAAAAAATTGCTATTTAGTATCAATCTCTTGATAACATGCATAAACTCGCAGCCTAAAATGTTACATGCTACTTTCAATTCAGTTTCACAATTATTATGGTTATATTAGCCAGTTCATGAATTTTCAACACTGCGGATTTCAGCAGAGTAAGATGATAGGTTTCCTGATTCAAGCACCAGACACACACTACAAAAAAAACAGGTACAAAGTTCTGTATCTTTAGATAAAAATCTATAGGATTTAAGTCATACACATTACATTATTCAGTTATTGTGGGGAAAAAAAGAAGAGAAATGTAAATAATGTAATGTAAATGTAAAAGTGTAAATTATGTACCCAACCTAAAAGCCACAGCTCCCCAGACAATCTCTCTTCAATTTTACATAACAAATATTACTTTCCTATTTGCATAAAGAACAAATAAAATTTCGAGTCATGATAAATATACTTTCTAATGAACAATACTGTTTATGAAGCGAAGAGGTAACTTCGGCACACACTTAGCTCCCTACCACATTCCAACACAAGAGTGAAATCAGACAGCTTGTGTTAGATCAGATTCCACCTGAGCACTGCTGCACAGGTGGCCAAAGCCCTCCAGGGTCCTGCACAATTAGAGCTCACTTGGCTAAGTGATAACCCAGACTCCAGGCACATGTATTTGAACTAACGTTGAGGGCAAGCACTCCAAAGTCACAGGTAAAGCTAGTCAAGACAAGGCAAAGAGCCCCTTGCTTGAACTAGCTACTAAGTCTCCGCTGTTTCTTGGGCAACTAAAGCTTTCCTGTTACTCTGCAAGTACTAGATGGCTGGATGGGAGCTTCTTTTTTATTTTCAAAGGATAAAAACCACAAGTCTTTACACATGCTGCTCAGTGGAGGTCATCAGTGAACCACATATTCCAACTGTTGTGAATGGATCAAAGAACTCTATCTCCTAGCCGGGCTTGGTGGCTCCGCCTGTAATCCTGTGCCTTGGGAGGCTGAGGTGAGTGGATTGCCTGAGCCCGCGGGTTCGAGACCTGCCTGGGCAACTTGGCGAGACCTCGTCTCTACAATAAATCAAAAAAAATTTAGCTGGGTGTGGTAGCACGCGCCTGTAGTTCCAGATACTTGGAAGGCTGAGGCGGAAGGATCGCCGGAGCCCAGCAGGTCGAGACTGCGGTGGCCGGGAGCGGCCACTGCACTCCAGTCTGGGCGACAGAGTGAGACTCCAACTCAAAAAAAAGAAAAAAAAGAACTCGATCTCCTTATCACCACTTCTGTGTCTACTGGAAGAGGGGGCCTCTATTAAGCTCCACTTCAAATTCCCAAGAGAAATCCAAAGAGTCCACCCAGAATTTTGGTCTAAATGTTGACTCAAAGTGTGGATTCAAAGCATAGGCTTGGTCATGCTTAGTTAGCCCTGGACAGATGGGCAGCCCATGGACGATACTCATTAGCCTCAAAGGTGGGCCCACAGCAGCCCAGCACTCACCTGAGCTATAGCTGTCAGTAGATGACTGAGAGATGGAACGAGACAGAGAACGACGTCCGATTTTGGTGGGACGTTTGTTGAATTCTTGCTTCTGGTCAGCAAATTGGATCTGCTAAGAAAAAGAACCCCAGTTATATAAAGGAAAAGAACCTTCATTCTGAGACAGCCATTCAGGTTGACATCATAAGCGCTTGATCTGATTGCTCATACTCACCCATATTTGGAAATGTTGAGACTCTTTAAAGAATGATTTTTCAATTTTTTTTTTTTAAAGAGATGGGGTCTTGCTACATTGCCCAGTTTGGCCTTGAACTCCTGAGCTTAGCAATCCACCTACCACAGCCTCCCAAGTAGCTAGGAATGCATGTGTGCACCACCATGCCCAGTGATTTTTTCATTCTTTACCTACCATGCCTCTATCAAATTAAAAGTTTTGATCCACTCTCTATATGCTTTTTACAAGAAAAGTGTGACATCTCCCTCAAACAATGGAGGAGAATGTGATGCTCTCATTAAAATAAATTTCTAGAAAGTTAAGTCATATTCAGAAATCTTTTCTATGCTTCACTCTAAAAGCTGGAAAGAATCTTTGAGACTGTCATATCCACAAGCTTCATACATCTAGATGAGAAAACTGCAAAGTGCAGAAAGGCAAAATGACTTGCATTGAGGCTTCAAGAGTCTCAAGAAATGGGATGATACAATAACTCTTGAAAAGGCTTTTCATTCAGAATGAACACTCTGGAAGTGCATTCAAACTTGGGCTATGCTGGCTGTATGATGTTGGTCAAGATGCTTTTGTGAGCCTCATCTTCCTCGAAATACGACAGAGATAAAGTACGTAGCTCACAGGTCTTAGGGTTCAATGACATGATGTATGTAAACGATGTAGCAAAAGCCATGCACCTCCTCCTCACCCCACCCCACAGCTCAGTGCTCTTGTGACTCCTGTGCAGCCATTCTGACTCGTTAAAGGCTTTCTAAAATGCATGTGTTGGCTTTCCAGTACTGGTAAGGAAACAGTTATTTATTATTTTTAATGTGTAGTATTCCAAGATACCTAAGAGCTATGAGATTGTTTATTAGCTATATCACGTAGAAGATTCAGGGACTGTGTATGCACAGACCTGAGGCCATCCTCTGGAGGTCACACTTTGGACATCTGATCATACTTTCTCATGATTTTATCTCTTTCTCCTTCTGCTAGTGGTTCCAGCTGATACTCTACAATACTCTACAAATCAAAGCTCATATCATTTATTCAGCTAATAACTTTTTCTTTTTCTCTAACTGAATGTTTGCATAATTGCTTATTTTTCTGATCCAAGGCGGCACAGAGGAAGGCCTACTGAAAAGGTTCTAAGATCTGACAACTGATTTTACCTTTAATGATGAAAAAGATGGTTCCTGATGGGAAGAATACATACAGCATACCTAAATGAAAGCAGCAACTGACGGCTACACTTCCTGCAGTAGGCAGTAATGAGTCACTTCAGTATTGAGACATGGGGACCAATGCCACATAGACTTAGCTTTGCCTTTTAGGGGAAATCACAGCATTTTCATAGCTATAACAGCTGAAGCCTGCGTAGTGCTTTAGAGTTTGCAAACTGTTTTCAGCAACAGGAAAATCCACTGGATTAGAAGCTCTTTGCAAAATGAAAAATGATACAAATGATTCTTTTGCGAAAGCAGCAAGTGATTGCCAAAGGATAAAGTGCCCTTTCTACGTGCTCCCATGGGTGTCACAATGTTCACACACTACACTTCTCCTGGCCCAGTACTCATTACTCTGACAGCACTGTCCACACACCAGCATCCTCTGCAAACCACAGACTCCATGAAGGCAGGGGCGGTGATTTCCAGTCACTACATCCTCAGGCGCAATGCCCGGCACATCTCAGGCACTCATTCATGTACTGAGTCAATGGGTCTGAAGTAGCCTATTCTATTTTCAGTCTGTATTTGATTGAATATTCAGTAAGACAGTAAACCTAAGCCAAGTCTAAAGTTAAAATAATTTTTAAGGGGAAAAAAAATGTTGAGATGGGGAAGAAGGGTGGGAAACTGGGGAGGTGGATAGCTGTCAGGCTCAGAACTCTGGCTTCCATTTCACCAAACTTGTTCAACGAAGTCACATGTCTATTCTTTTTTTAGAGGCCCATCTAGGAAAAGGAGTAATAATGGCTTCTTTAAAAAAGAATAACAGAGGCCGGGATCAGTGGCTCAGCCTGTAATCCCAGTACTTTGGGAGGCCGAGGCGAGTGGATTGCCAGAGCCCACAGGTTCGAGACCAGCCCAGGCACCTTGGCGAGACCTCGTCTCTACAATAATATCAAAAAATTAGGCCGGGCTTGGTAGCTCAGTCTGTAATCCCAGCACTTTGGAAGGCCGAGGTGAATGGATTGCCTGAGCCCACGGGTTCGAGACCCACCTGGGCAACTTGGCGAGACCTCATCTATACAATAAATCAAAAAATCAGCCGGGCGTGGTAGCACATGCCTGTAATTCTGGCTACTGGGAAGGCTGAGGTGGAAGGATCGCCGGAGCCCAGCAGGTCGAGGCTGCGGTGGCCGGGAGCGGCTACTGCACTCCAGTCTGGGTGACAGAGTGAGACTCCAACTCAAAAAAAAAAAAAAATTAGCCAGGCGTGGTAGCATGCGCTTATAGTTCTGGCTACTTAGAAGGCTGAGGCTGAAGTATCACCAGAGCCCAGCAGGTCGAGGCTGCAGTGGCCGGGAGTGTGCCACTGCACTGCAGTCTGGGCGACAGAGTGAGACTCCAACTCAAAAAAAAAAAAAGAATAACAGATAACAGATAAACTTCCTCAGACACTCAATGCAAAGTCCTACCACCACACACCTGCATACATGCACGTGTGTGCACATGAACACATATGTGCACACACACCACTAGAGGGGGCCAGTCACTTATTCTCTGGATTTCTAGGATGTGGGTGAGTACATGCATGTCCATGTCACGCTAAGCCATATAAACACCTAGCGGCAGTCTCATCTCTAACCAGTGTCCCTGAGCTGAGCACTCTTCTCTAGTCTCTTCCATTTACAGTCATCTCTCCCACACAGGACAAGTTCAGTTTGTCTTTTAGCCAAGAAGACGAGGCTGTATAGGCTTTCTCCTCTTAGCACACAGGGTCCTAAACCTTGCTTACTGGCTAGACACTGAATTCAAGTCTCTTTGAGACAGAAGAACGTTCGAACAAGACTAACCACTTACATATAAGTTACACAACTGTCCCAAGAAATCAATGTCAGTCTTCACAGAGAGCCAGAGCACAGGAGTTAAGTGGGTCACATCCGGTGCCTGCCTCCCCTCAATAATTAAATGCCATTATATTCCTTGCCCAACAAAACCCTCTGTAACAGACTGACTCTACACTCTCCCCACTGCAGCTGAGGTTCTTTGGCAGCTTCTACCCCTACCCTTCCTACCTTGTCTGAAACCAGAGCCTTTTAAAGTAACCCTCCTTGTCCGTTTCAGAGAGAACCGCCTAATTCCAGCAGGCATCAGGGAGAGGGAAGGAGACTGTTAAGAGTGGGGTAGCTCACCTTATGCCAGAGGGAGCGATGAGGGCAGGAAAGGAGGAAAAAACAAGAATAAGCAGCTGGCCTTTTCAATCATGGCTAGAACGGCAGCAGGACTGGTAACAAGAGCTTAGCCTCACCTGGGCTTTAATCCCAGAGTTGCCATTGACAATGTATTTCTTCTTGCTGCTCAGCATAGTGACATTGCCAGCCCTACGGCCACCTCTGCGGTCCAGGGACCCTGGTGGCAGGCCTTTAAACTTTCCTCATCAGCAGTCCTGTTGGCTCTGGTTCCAGCCAGCTTTTTTTTGGGGGGGTGTGCTCTTCTTGCAACCCCTGAAGCAGCCCCCACAGTCCTTCAGCGGGAGAGCACCAGTTTAATATGGCATTTTTGTTACTGGCTCATCAGCCATTTCCTAATGCTGGTGGCTGCTTTGCTTTAATTTTTTTCCTAAACATCTAATTACATGGATTCTCTGACCTCTAAACTTTAACAAGTCCCTTGACAAGGCCCAACTTGCATGCGCATAACAATAGCTTATTTATATAACTAGTGCACTTTTTTGCCTGCTATAATTAACTTGTTAATTAGGTTCCTTTTTAACCTTACCTCCTCCTTTTCCATGTCAGATGATTTTAGTTAACCAAGTCTCATTAGAAAAAAATTAACCACAGAGCCACTAAAACAATGAGAGACTTTATTAAGAGAGTAAGAAAAAAAATTAATGGTGCTAAGAACTCGGGCAACCCCACTCCGTGTCCTTGGATTAGCAGACTGGGGATACTGGCTTCAGCTCTGTCACCAAGGAAATCAACGATCCCAGTATGCTGCTTTGCTCCCACTTGTGCATCTTTCATACAGGTTTTGACACTTGGTTTCTAGTCCCATCTCAAGATTGTTGCTGATTTGGCATTGGGTGACCCAGTTTTCTTTTTTCAAAGAATGTGCTTGTGGAAAGTGTGACTATAAAGGGAAGTTTCTTATCTCCTCAGAGTCCCCAGAATCACAACAATCTTATTACATGCCAAATAAAGATTCAAACAAAAGAGCAGAGAATCACAGCACTGATTTGCCAATTTCTAGGAGGGAACCAGTGAACAGAAAAACTACATTCAACTATGCATGTTACAGAGACTGGAAGGAAAGTGATTTGAATTCTTCCTAAGACAAGAGACTGCTTGCTGAGCACAAGGACATAAAATGGTAGCCGTTCTGTTGCTTGAACCCCTGGCCTCAGTGATCTTCCTGCCTTGGTCTCCCAAACTGCTGGGATTACAGGTGTGAGCCACTGTGTCCAGCACTGGTAGGTTCTTTTTTAAGGATAATCTCTATTTTGAGAGAAAAGGTCATATTGCAGAGTGTTTACTGATATCTCTGGAAAAAGAGAAGAAGGGATGGAACTATCATTTATTAAGTGCCTACATGCACAGCCCCGGGTAATGTTATTTCTGTCAATCTGAAAAGGAACCTGAAGCTGAAGGCATTATGATCCTCATTTGACAAAGCTGGGAAGTACAGCTCTGAGAGCTCTGAGAGAACAAACAGTTTGCCCAAGCTCTCACCACA